ACTTTTACTCCAGTCCTCTAAATATTGATAAATATATTTAAATCAAGATTTTATTGCTCATATCGTGATAAAAACAGTGTTAATTTCATACTTATGATTCTTGGTTATTATATTTACGATTATCGAGTTAAAAGTGGAATTAATTCATATATTGACTTCAAGTTCTTTATCAAAATAATTTATAATTATATGGATATCACTAAAACTTTTTTATTTGATAAATAATATTTAAAATATTTATAATAAAATTGGTTAAAAAAAATGTTTAATGATAACAATGGGCTAAAAATGTGGCCTATTAAATAGTTAACGGTGAAGGTTGTAATATTTTTCTGGTAATTTGAATATTCCCTTTTGAATAATTTGCATATGGGGGGGAGGGGACGTGAGAAAAGAAACGTAGGTACAGAAAAAGTGTGTATTAGATAATTACTTTGTTAGAATAAGTCATATAATATAGTTCAATTTAAATACAGAGCTTAGTGACATGAACTTATAATTCCTATTTTATTGCTGAGATTTTTGGCTTGATGGCTAAATTTGCGTCTTTTAACGTGACAWATATACCGTACTTTTGATTTATGAAGTCTTACATGTTTAGTTTMAGTTTGCTGTATTTAAATGTTATTCTGTTTTTGTSATCTTTGTATTTATAGTTTAACTATTTATGTTGTATATAAAAACCCAATTAATTAAATATRGGTATCTAGTTTTTACAAAGTATATTGTAACGGATAACAATTTTGTTGTTATTCTTATGATATATTACAATAATTTGTAAAGAAAGTTAAACACAATAATATGATGTAGAGGTAATCGCAGTATGAATTATTATGATGAATGTTTTAGCTCATATTATATTACAYRTAGATCRCGATAATGGAACGTTATTTGAAACGCGAGGAGAATATWATTATTATAACATTGTACTCCCAGATATGACAGAAACGACAAATAAAGTCGCAATAATATTATGCCAAATAGTTATATTACAGACTAATAATAGTATTATAAAAATATCAATATTGAAACTATTTTTATGTAATCTTATATATAGCTCATGTAATAATAATAATCATTAATCGTGTTAACAATTTTAGATCGTATTAAATAATTCCCGAGCACTGGAAAAAGGTCAACTGTACGCGTTCCTGAAAAGTTTGCTCGGCGAAGGCTTATTAACTGCTTCAGGTATTTACATAAGTTTTTATTTTCATATTTCAATGCAGTGAATTTTAATGTTAAGAATATATGACTACGATAATATTATTACCCTCATCGTTAAATGTTTAAACAAAATAAACGAAAATAATATTGCGAGCTATGCGTTTAGATCATATAATTCAAGTCTATGGAAAGCACGTCAGTCCAAACAGAGTGCGAAGAACATCAGTCATGTTAATAACAATAACAGTAATAATAATAATGGGTTAGTTTTGAACTACGGAAAGTTAAAACGATGTTTGTGGATTTAAAATCAAATTGAATTTGTCGTGTTAAATATAATAATTTAATATAAGATCGTGGATATCATTTACCATGTCGAAATCGGTACCTACGGAATATCTTACAAAATGTAAATTTAAGTTTTTAATGATAATAATGTTACGTCTGTATTAGGTAGTGTTGTCATGGATTGGCGTAAAACGGGTTAAATAATCAAAGTCAAGCTTAAGAGCTTAWTTTTTTTAACCGAATTACACTATACGGGTTACCATGTTTTTAAAAGTGGATTTAAATTTTTTACAACTTGACGAGTTAATTTTTATCTCAACCCAACCACAATTTAAAATATACACATTATTGTTTTGCATAAATTATTGAAAAATGGAAAAACAAAAAAATAATGATCGGAAATAGGTATTTTATTTTTTATAATAGTAATAATAGTATACTATATTTTAAATATGTTCATAATTAATCATAGATCATCTAAGTGTTAAATGATTCTAAATCTTATTATAGGGATCGAAATAAACTTTATAAATAATAAAACTTTAATTACATTTCCATAGATACAATTTCATCCAAACAAGTAAATTTTAAATCTCTTAACAATCACATAATTGACGTATTTCTAAGAAATCGGAGTTGTGATTTAAAAAAAAAAAAAACAGTGGGGTTATTTCTTATAACTTTAGTTAGTAGGGTTTTATCTAGGGTGGCAGTATTGTGTCAAACAGTTCCCATCCGTTCCCGGTATATAAAAGGGGGGGGGAAAGGGTTTTATCTTGGACGACCTCCATTTTCGTTATTTTTTCTGTGATTTTCTCATATATGCAATATTTTTAATACCTTTTTCCGGTAAATTATCGACTTATCGTACATATAATATACTTACTTTTCTATTTATACTTTTAATAAATTTGCCTTTAATGCTCTGGTAAGTATTGTAAATATTCGGTTGAAAATAATAAAAATCTGTTTGATTTTTAATTTAGTTGAGTTACCTACCTTTTTACTGTTTAACTTGTAACTTTTACTAATTAAAGAAATGAAGAGTAATTTTTTAATTTTAAGCTAAAAACTTAAACTTAAAATTTTTATATAAACACAGTAAATTAACTTGGCGAGTTAAATAATTAGTTTAATTTCCCAGATTTTTTTATGCACAGCGACTTATCATTTATGTGTTTGCCCGTATTTTCTTCCTTCATATCGTCCATAAATTTCAGAAATTGTAATAACAATGCGGTTATGCGTAAAACGAAACAAAAAATAAATAAATATTGCAATAATAACGATTATAATAAATGTATTATTGTTGTACCAATCKTTTTCAGTGGATAGATGGCGAAAGCATCGTCGTATCATATCATATGCGTTCAATGTAAAGTTCTTGGAGCAGTTGTATCCGGTTTTCAATGAGAAAAATAAAATACTCGTAAAAAATCTCCGAAAAAATATAAACTCAACACAACCGTTCGACCTCTGGGATTATATTATATCGAGTACTTTTGATACCATATGCCGTGAGTATAAACACTCAGTACAATGAATGAGTCTTTAATCTTATTATTGGTACCGTACTCCTTAATAATAATAATAATATATGAAGTGTAGATTATTATCAAGGTAAAAATCATTCCTCTCTACCTATCTCTTCCASCTCCTACATACGATAATATATATTTGTGTCGAGTTGTTGTTACGCTGATCATTTTTTTATACATTATTATTATTMTTATCTTCATCGTCATCACAGAACGAAATAAAAAGTATACGACTCTGCAATAGATTTTACTTTGTTTTATTTTTGTCACAGAAACTGCAATGGATTACCGTATAAACGAAAAACATAATAAAACCGAATTTTTAGACCTCATGACAACGTAAGTGTGATAAATGTACGACCGTAACGACGAGCCAATTATTGTTCGAGCACCAATGTTTTAGGATCGCAGACGAACTTGTGAAGACCGTCAACAGACCGTACCTGTACCCGAGTTTGTTCTTTTCGATCTACAGGTCTGTGAGTGGTCTCAGTGAAAAATTAGAACTGATCAACAAACTTCCGTTACAAGTAATTAGACGATGAATAATATACTATTACATTTTATCCTTGGTAATATTGATGGCGATGAAATGGACGAATACTAGTTGGTTTTCTTCAGACAGCCTTTTGAATATACAAATACACGCATTTGAGTATTTAAAAAGTTTTARAATACCTTAACTCTGCAGGTACTTTACAAGGCTGTTTAAAGGTAAAATACAGTTACAAACCAATTAGTTCCACAGAAATTCTAATATTAAATTTACTTTTCAAACTATTGTGYTATAATATTGCTTTATGATTTAACTATCTCTAATGTATAACACACCCACACCACCTACGCTTTTGACGTATTGGAAGTTAAAAATTTGTGCAGTCTTTAATTTTTTAATATTATCACCAATAAACTTTTCACWYTCAGCAATCTATTAGTTCAATGGCCAGTAACCGGCGGCCCGCTTAAGAGTTTTAAGCAGTTTTTTTTCATAGTAAATAATTTGAAATATAAAATTCTTATTTTTGTCAGGCCCACGAACTTTTTAATCGTGTGAATGTGGCCCGGGAATCCAAAAAGGTTGCCGAMCACTKCATTAGATAGATAGGCATGTTAAACAATTTCCCAGACATCGTAAAACTTAATAATATATTATAAGATTACAACGATTTGTATGTATATATATATAGGAACCAATTCAAAATATGTCGTAACTGATAAGTAAGTCATGTTTTTTTTTAATTTTAGAGAGAACCAATTCGTACACTTTATTTGGCTTGTGAACCAATTCCATATTACCCGATATTATATACGTACTTAGGTATAAAATTCGTTAAACATATATTGGCCGTACTGTCTGTTTTAGTTGATCGACGAAAAGAGAATAGACTTCCGTTCGAAAGTAGTCGAGTCTGATTTGAATCCCACGGATTTCACAGATGAAAAAAGTATTCATAAATAAAATATTAAGAGAGAAAATATACAAACCGTGGACGTTAGATTTAATGTTATTCGATTTATTCGATTTGTTTTTTAGAAAACAAATTCAAAACGTTTATCGACACACTTTTGGAGGCCAGCGAAAACGATCCTGATTTTACGAACACCGACGTCCGGGATGAAGTCATAACGATGATGTTCGCGGTAATAATATTAATATAGTATAGAGTCTCGCTAATCTGGACTAGATGAGACCGGACTCTATCGGGATTATTGAAAATCCGGATTAAATGGAATAACTTTTTTTTTTTTTAATTTACTAATAAATGTTTTTCAAAAAACACGTATTGAAACTATAATATCTTAATCATGGGTATTCTCGAATATTTCGTAGAGGTACTTATACAAAATATATGTATGTACCTACAATTATGTTATACAGCCAAAATTGATATAAATAATTAATTATGTTTATATAGTATATACTATATATAATATATATACATTATACATGAGTATCAACGTACGAAGTATAAATTGCCCAGATTATCCGGATGTCCAGATTAAMGATGACTGGATTAGCGAGACTCTACTGTAATAACAAWCGATGATCTTTATCAATGGTCCTCAATCGAAAAACTGTTGTACGTAGAAGGCTAAATGGTGATACGTGAAAGGTCGTGTGGTGGTAGTACGGAATTTTAATTGATCGATATTTTTATTTATGTTTACAATAGATCTAATATCATATTTTGTTTTGTATTGTTTATTTTTTATTAAATAAACCATACAAGTGTGGAAACTGGGTAATATTGATATGGTTTTATATCATATGTTACGTTCGATGAGASAAGTGAAAATGTACAAATTATAATGAAACTACTTAAAAACTAGGTAATATGTTGAAGAGAGTTGTATCTTGTTAAACAGCTGTTGGCGGCGACTATGAACTTGATGGATGCATGTTTTCAGTTTTGTGTAAATACACATTAAACACGCTGCCAAATATATATACATTTTTATTTTTATATATTGTTCTTGTAAAATGCATATTGAATTTTTGAATATTTCTATTTTTAGTCACAAGTTGTAAATTATCAATCTATAACACACACGAGTGGTATGCAAGAAAAAWTTTTTGAGAATTTTTGATTCAAATCTTAACCTTGACCTTACCTTAAGATGCCAGTATTTAAAACGATTAATCTTTTTAACATATAATTTTGTGCGTTTATAGGGCAGTGACACAAACGCTACCACCGAATGTTTCTGCCTCCTGTTGTTGGCCATCCATCAAGACATTCAGGTAGGTACGACTAGTAGTGTAACCTGGTATAAAACTGGGGCTGGCCGCGTAATTTATTTACTTAGATAGAAACCATAATCTTTTGTTTTCACACAAGTCTTGAAACTTAATAAACCAATATAAACAAATCGTAGGATCGTTGAATAATATTAAGTACACTTGTGTTCTTACAAAAAGGTGCTATAAACTTGTTTGAAAAAAAATAATGTGATGATAATCCTGTTATCATAATTCATGAAATAATATTATTCAGTTATTTTTATAATCCAGATAATGTGATAAATAAATGATATATACTATAACAGGGAAAACGGGAAGAAATATATTTTTTACTTTGGTATAAATATATGTTAAGAGGACGCATGTGTTGTTTCCATCTTACAAGTGTATTTCATAGCAAATTTTACGCTCAGCAGTTCCTATTTACCTCTTTTAGTTTAAAATTTTAGGGTGAATTAACCTTTTACAAAAATTAAAGGTAACATCATTATCTAGGGCTTCTTATAGGCTTTTTATTATATTTTAACTTTAAAGCGAATTATGAGTATTTTAAGATGTACAAACAATTTACAATTTTTTTAAATAATCATAACTCGCCTTAAAATAAAAAGTCTATGAGAATCCCTCGATAATAATGTTGCCTTTAATTTTTATAAGAGGTCAATTCACTCTAAATTTTACACTAACGAAGTTAAACGTGATCTACTGATCGTAAAAGTTGCCATGTTAGGCACTTGTAAGTTGTAAGACAGAGACAATATATGCGGGTATAGTTTCCTCTTAAATATATTGTATTTTTTCTTTATTTTACGGTATATAAAGATTTCTACTGTTGGAATATTTAAGAAGGAAGAGGGAAGTTAAAATAATTCATTTTTCAGGGTAAAATAAAATAAAATAATTTATTTAAATAAATATTAAATGTGGTAATCTGTAATTATAAAATAATGAATATTTGGTATCGAAAAGTCCTGACAATCTGGAAGTAGTCATCATAGTGGCTTATCTAGAAATTCGTTTAAATGGAGAGGGGGATCCTTAACTCAAAAATACGCTCCGGAAAAGTTAAGTTTATCTCATCAATCTTAAAAATAAATTAATAACAATAACACTTTTATAAATGAACGATTTATATTTGTATATTTTAGATAAAGCGAGAGAGTTACCAATATGGGATTTAGTATATTTGACCGGGCAAGGTTGATGAGGTGGGAGGGTCCGGGTATTGATTTTTGAACTACATATTTGTTTGTGTTTTTTTTAAAACTAAGTTATCGTCTCATGACTGATTATTAGTCAACGACGTATATCAGTTACTGATTTTTTCTACTTTGAATATACGGAAAAAGTTCATGCTCGCGTGTTTATAGGATGAAGTGTACGACGAGATTTACAACGTGGTGGGCGACAGCGACCGCGATTTGACTCCGGAGGATACTGCTAAATTTGCGTATTTAGAACAGGTGATCAAGGAAACACTGAGGATGTATCCAACTATATCGGTGTTCACGAGACAGCTGGTGGAAGACATCAAAGTCAGTGAGTATAGCGCATGACGTATCACACGTTTATTTAACAGTTAACAGCAAACAATTATTTATCCATCAATTTAAGATATTGATAATATTAAATCGTATGATCATGTATCAGGTTAACACAATTTTCATGAGTACTGGTAATTTGGATACTCATGTACGATATCATCAAAATAATTTCTAATTCGAATACGAAAACTATTTTTGTCACATTTTTAGTTCTAAGACGGGTGACGCTATACATGAGTGGAACAGAATCATTTCCTGAGAGTTTTGAGTTACGACGTTATTAGAGTTTTAAAGAGCAAAAACGACAAAATTAACATTTCAAATGATCATTTTTGAAGGCAAAAAAAAATTTAAAAACCCTTCTTCTCTCATTTTTGATTCGTAGATCGTTAGCTATGAAGTTCTACGCACACTTCTTATCTTTGTGATATAAATATCTTGGTATAAACGTGTATAAGAGTGTGGCCTACAAAGTCAGTATGTGAGTTATTTGACGTGGGATACGTGAGCTTGGAAATTTTAGAGGCCGGTTGATTCTATAATTATTAAAGTAATTATTTGTTAGTTGRGCTGGTGTCGAATTGGTTCCCGTGCCTAAATCCCACATGCCGAATTAGTTTGAAAAAGATATTAAGTTGAGACGAATTGGTACCAATTCAAAAATAGGTATTTTATTAGGTAGCGCCGAATTTGTTCCTGTTTAATTACGCACATTTTCCTTCTCAATTTTATAGGCTTAGGACTGTCAACTTCAAAGTAGAAATCGTTAAAAATGTGTGTTAGTGAGTGTTAAAAAATATATATAATAATTACAATTTAAAGTCGTTGATTGGCAAATTTAAAGCAAACTTTATTTAAATATTCAGTTCGCGAAAGCTTCTCATCAGTATACTCAACCATACAGTTTCCTAGATTTTTTCGTTTGGTAGTGAGTTATAAGTACGATATAAGTATTTATATCTCAAACGTTTTCTTAATCGACCGGGGTATCAGAAATAATTTGCTAAAATTCTAATAAAACAATCTAATTATATTGTATTGTATATACTGCATGTAGAGTGTAGGAAATGTAGGTTCATATTTTATACTATCTAGTTCATATTTTGAATCAATTATTTAAAATTAAATAATACAATTTTAACTATTTAATATTTTACCTAAACACAAACGGGAACCAATTATGCTTGACTTAATAAATACCCTTTTAAAATGAGAAAAAATTTGGCCAAATGGGAATCAAATCGGTTACTCTCATTAGTTGTGGTTTAACCATTGGTGGTTAACTAGTAAATAATCTTGTATGGAACATCCGTATCGATTGGGATAGGTTGTTATTCATTACTGAAAGTTATGCATATAGCTGAAAAATGATTTAGTACAGTAACCAGTGACCGATTAGGTGTGCCTGTTGAGACCTCTAGATACCGAGCATACTAGAAATTTCATATTTTATTAAGTGGTGTTCATTGGGAAGGGGAGGAGAGGATCACTGCACTATTATATTATTCGAACGTTCCAATAGCTGTTTTTGCTATTGGGGTTTTTCTTCTCCAATACCATCTCTTTTGTGCGTATATTATAATCAATCCAATCTTAAGCCTAACCAACCCTATTTTCCCTTTACACCACTACAGGTACAAGTATATTTACATAGCCTGCGTGCTTAATAATATTTTAGCAAATTACGTCTTGCCGAGGGGCGCCAGCGTCACGATATCACCGATAGTCACGCACCACTGCCCGCACCTGTACCCAAACCCCGAGGCATTCAATCCGGACAACTTCAGCGTGGAGAACGTGGCCAAACGGCACAAATACAGTTACATAGCGTTCAGCGGCGGCCCGAGGGGATGCATAGGTGAGTGTGCCAGTGAAAAACTTAACAAAACTTTTTGGCACTTTCAATTTTTCATTTGCGAAATTCCGTCCAAAGTATTTAATCGGTGACCTCGTCACGAGACAAYACCACCGGTTCAATTCAAACCTGCGTAGCCCCAAGATTATGTAGGCTTAATTAACTTTACTATATGTACCYGTTCACAAAGTAATAATAATAATACGAATGCGCACGTTTTTGACATGACGATATCTGATGGTACGTTTTAGATTTTGAGTGTAACAAAAAAGTATTAATTGATTTTATAACGRCCATTGTATTTGTTTTTCGTTGAAATTGGAAGATCAAAAATAGAAATTCCCAGCATTTTTAAAAATATCTGATAAAAACCAAAAAAATATAACTGATATTAATCAATTAATTTGTCTTGTTTTGTTATCATTTTATACATCGGTAACATTTTTAAAGTTATTTTAACATAAAAAGTTTGTGACCTAAGTCTTTTAATTAAATTTTTCTGAAAACCAATATTTGATGGAACAAAAAAGAACATATCTTAGGTTATGGTATACAAATTAAGAGATTTGAAAAATATAACATACCTAATCAATACCGATGTTTTAGTGCCAATTTAAACAATTCATTTAATAGTCACGTGCKATTATCGTAAATATTTTTATACTAAATCTACACACACATTTGATAAAAAATGCAAAAATGTAATAAAGCTGCGTAACAATCTCGCGTGCATACCTGTTTGAACACACTTCTAATCCAAACACGATTTTTTCTGATGATCTGAAATCTGTATTATTGTTTGTTACTTGTATATACATATGGATAAATGCCGGATTGGCTGTCGCGTGTAAGTGAAAGTAATTATGCAGTTTTAAGCAGACTTTCATAATTCCCTCGCCGCGTCGTTCAGCTAATTAATTTGCGTCACCAAAATGATGCTGTGTATAAACCTGCAAGCGATTCTACGCACGGAGTAGGACGGATAAATTTTACTAC